AATAAAGCCTCATGCTGTTTGCATCAAGCTTTCGACTCCGCCTGGTGATTGGGGTGACCGCAGTCCTGGGCTGAGATCCTGGAGGCCTGAGCTTCTAGGGGTCTTTCAGTATCAGAATTTTGCATGAAATTCACTGGGGAGGTTGGAAAGCAGATGTGGATATGGATGGGGCAGGATGGATCCAGATGACTGTGGGTGGGGCAGGATGGATCCCCAGCTGATGACTGTGGGTGGGGCAGGATGGATCCAGATGACTGTGGGTGGGGCAATATGGATCCCCAGCTGATGACTGCCGTGGTGGGGTAGTAAGGATAAGGAGATTCTATATACCCACTCTCTGCTTTAAAAAAAAAAAAAAAATACATTTCCCACATAAAAATTTCAAAAAAAAAAAAAAAAAAAAAAAAAAAAAAAAAAAAACGAAGAATCTAATTATTGAATCTGGTCAATATATTATCCACATTTTAAAATCTTTATATTTGAGTTAATAAACAAATTTATTACTTTATTTATTTATTTAGTACTTTAACAGGCTAAAGTCACAATATATGCCTCTAAATTTTTACAGAATTAAAGTCACATGGCTATGAATACAGAAGACAAAAGCAACTGCTGCAGATGAGAGGGTGAGGAGAAGGTAGAGCTCCTCTTTCTGTGGCCAGGGATCTTCAGGGGTCAGTAGTCCCTGCACTCCTCCTCAAACCTGTCTTCATCTAAGATTTGACATATTTGTTAGACACTGATTCTATGCAAGGCACTGAGCAAGTGGTGGCTTGATGGAGGAAATGAAACTGAGAGAAACAGAGAGTACCAGTCCTTAGACGCTTACAACTGACCCACTGACATTCTCTGATCTAGAACTAGCCCCTCCCTTCTCCCATTGACACATCCAATTTCTGCATAGTAAACTACAAAATTACACACAACCCCCAAATATAGCAGTTGGCATGTTAAATATTCCCGGATAGAGGAACGCAAGGACACAGGAGCAGAAGGTCACTCTGCTTGTCCTACTAACTCCCTTGGCAGGTTGGAAAACTTTTAGAAAGTTTCGGACCTTTCACTGAAACAGGTCAAAGACCCTTAAGGAGAAGTGTCTTCACAAAAGGGGGGGTGTGACATCCCTAAGAAAAAGCAGAGGATGAGGAGGAAGATCTGCACAAAGCCAGCCTACTGATTGCCCCGTCCACAATCATTCGTCAAATCTTTTCACCCTATCACTTTTCTCCACAGCTGTCTGCTCTTCATCAAACCTATAATGTCATGTGAAACTTTCATCAAACAATGTGAATTCGAGCTGGGAGGTGGTGGCACAAGTCTTTTATGCCAGTCCTTGGGAGGCAGAGGTGAGGCCAGTCTGGTCTACAGAGCGAGTTACAGAACAGCTACACAAGGCTACACAGAGAAATCCTGTCTCAAAAAACAAAAACCAAACAAAACAACAAATGTGAATACTTGTTAATCTGTCCTTTGTCATAGAGACCTCAGTCCTCAGTCAGAAACCCAAACATGGAAAGAGAAAAAACAAACAAACAAACAAAACTCCCCCCTTATATTTACTAAATCCTAAGAGCAACTTCCTAAATCTTCCCCATTTTGACTTGCCTTGCCCAATTTTTAAAAGACAATTAAAAAAAAAAAAAAGGTTAAACAAATAAAACCTTCTATTTAGCCCAGTCAGTAAATAGCAGGTTAGGCCCACCTTGGATCAGTTTCTGGTGAAAACTCTGACTTCAACTCTCCTTCCTTAACTGCACCCACATTCCCTGAATGCTTTAAACGTCACTAGCCTGTGTTAAGCACAGTAAGCACAGACATTCAGGTTCTTTCAGTAAAGGGTCTTAAGTCATGACTATATGTAAGGTACTTCCAACTGTGACTGAATATCTATAAACATCCAGTTAATGTGATGAACAGAGATAATTCTCTGCTTTGTATAGTAAAAAGAAGCAGATTTAGTTAACTAGGTAGGGAACATGATCTTACCTGCATAGTCCTTCTCTTCGTTAGTGTTACTTGAAAATTTTTCCACTCCCAGCGCTGCTCCACCACATGTGCAAAGACAACATGCCCGTTTCCACAGGCTCCAGCGATCTGCGTGCCATCAATTGACCACGTGATATTAAATATGCTGCCAGTGTTGGGTTTTTCTAAAGCATATGACCACTAGATGAAAAAAGAAGAGGGAGAAAAATTTATTACCAAAAACACCCCCAAAAAACTGACAACTTTTAAATTGAGCACACATTACATATTAAGATACTAAGGTGATTTTGAAGGAATGTATTTTGGGAGCATTCATAGTTTTATTTCTTAGATTTAAATATTTTGCACTAAAGCTAATGGTAAAAATACATGTCTCTCTGGAACATATTAATTCCAGTAAAGAAGGTATTGATGACTTAAAGTGGTAGTTCTCAGCCTGTGGGTTGTAACCCCTTGGGGGTCAAACAAGTCTTTCACAGGGGTCACATATCATTTATGTACATTTAACTCATAACAGTAGCAGAACCACAGTTATGAAATAGCAATGAAAATAATTTTATGTTTGGAGGTCACCACAACATGAGGCACTGTATCAAAGGGTTTTGTCATTAGAAAGGTTCAGAACCACGGCATTAAAATCCACAGACACACAAAACTTCAAAGGTTGATTTAAGATACAATGTATGCTAAAATTGGTTTCTGCTTGCGATTCAGCGCCCTTATCCGAAGGGAACTGATCACTGTCAGCCTTAGAGTCAGCCTAGTCTATATAGTGAGAACCTATCTCAACACAAAACAAAACAATCATCTTTGACAATAAAAAGAAATTAATGCTTCTGGTGACCTGCTTGGAGCCTCCTGAAGCCTGGAGACTGTGCATGGGGGAATCTATCTGGTGGACTGGATCACCCAGAGGCTGCCAGCACACACACAAAGAGGAGATAAGCATGGGCCTGTTTCTTACCCACCTTCCAGTGCTCAGAGCCTCCTGAGGCTTGGAGCCTGTGCACAGTGGAACCCGCCCCAGCAGACCAGACCAGCCCCTCCAGGGTTTACCAACATCAAGGTACTAGTCCCACCTCCACCCATGGGAAGAGGAGAGCCATCGGAATATTGGACACGCTTTCACCCACTGGAAGAGAACCTTGGTCCCATATCTACCAGGAGAGGGAGAGATCCCACCAGTATACACTGGAAGAAGGGATGAGAAGACAACAGTATAATAACACAGTCAACAACAGAAAGATCAATATGACACCACTCACACCAGCAAGACCTGAACATCCCAACACAGATGAAGCAGAAGAGAACAACCTTAAAAACAACTTTATGAAAAGGAAACCCCCTTAAAGAAATGGAAGAAAAAACAAACAAAAAATTCAAGAAATGGAAGAAAAGACAAACCAAAAATTGCAAGAAACAATTCAAACAGTGCAAGGATGGAAGGCAGAAATAGGGACAAAAAAAGAGGGGGGGCTGGAGAGATGGCTCAGAGGTTAAGAGCACCAACTTCTCTTCCAGAGGTCCTGAGTTCAATTCCCAGCAACCACATGGTGGCTCACAACCATCTGTTTCGAGACCTGGTGCCCTGTACTGGTGTGCAGATATACATGGAGCAGAATGTTGTATACATAATAAATAAATAAATAAAATCTTTAAAAAAATAAAAAAGGAAAACTACTGTTTAAAAAACAAAAACAAAAACAGGGGGCTGGAGAGATGGCTCAGAGGTTAAGAGCGCCGACTGCTCTTCCAGAGGTCCTGAGTTCAATTCCCAGCAACCACATGGTGGCTCACAACCATCCATTATGCCCTCTTCTGGTGTGCAGATATACATGGAAGCAGAATGTTGTATACATAATAAATAAATAAAATCTTTAAAAAAAAAAAACAGAGCCTGAGGGAATGCTACAAACACAAAAGCTGGGTAAATGATCAGGAACTACAGGTGCAAACCAAAATACAAGAGATGGAAGAGAAAATCTCAGGCGTTGAAGATACACTAAGAGAAATAGATTCATCGACCAAAGAAAATCTTAAGTCCAACAAATCCCTAACACAAAATATCCAGGAACTATGGGACAACGTGAAAAGACCAAACCTAAGAATAACAGCTTTAGAAAAAAGTGAAGAAACCCACCTCAAAGGTGAGGAAAACCTTTTCAACAAAATAATAGAAGAAAACTTTCAAAACCTAAAGAAAGACATGCCAATGAAAGAAAGTACAAGAAGCTTACAGAACACCAAATAGAGTGGACCCCCCCCAAAAAAAAAACTCCTGTCACCACATAATAATCAAAACACCAAACTTAAGGAAAAAGAAAGAATATTAAGAGCAGCAAAGGAAAAAGGCCAAGTAACATATAAAGGCAAACCTATTAGAATCACACCAGACTTCTCCATGGAAACTCTGAAAGCCAGAAGGTCTTGCAAAGATATTCCACCACCACTAAGAGACCATAGATGCCAGTCTCGACTACTATAGCCACCAAAGCTTTCAATCAGTATAGATGGAGAAAACAAGATATTCCATGACAAAACCAGATTTAAACAATACATATCCACTAATCCAGCCCTATAGAAAGTACTGGAAGGAGAACCCAATCCAGGGAAGTTAACTACACCCACAAAAACATAGGCAACAGATAATCACACTTTACCAACAGCCAAAAGAAAAAAGGGGGGGAAATCCACACACAATACCAACAACAACAACAAATCCAAAACAAACAAGAATTAACAATCAATGGAGATTAATATCCCTCAATATTAACAGTCTTAGCCCACCTGTAAAAAGACACAGGCTAACAGAATGGATACGAAGACTGAATCCATCCTTCTGCTGCATACAATAAACATACCTCAACTTCAAAGACAGACTGTACCTCAGAGTAAAGGGTTGGGAAAAGATTTTCCAATCAAATGGACACAAGAAACAAGTGAATGTAGCAATCCTAAAATCTAACAAATTAGACTTCAAACTAAAATTAATCAAAAGAGATGAAGGTTACTTCATATTCATCACAGGAGAAATCCATCAGGAAGAAGTCTCAATTCTGATCATCTATGCCCCAAATACAAAGGCATCACATGTGTAGAAGAAACATTAAATCACAAATCACACATAAAAACCTCACACACTTATAGTGGGAGACTTCAACACCCCACTCTCACCACTAGACAGGAACACCAGACAGAAACTTAACAAAGAAATAAAGGAACTAACAGAAGTTATGACCCAATTGGGTTTAACAGACATTTATAGGCCATTCCATCCAAACACAAAAGAATATACCTTCTTTTCAGCGCCCCATGGAACCTTCTCTAAAACTGACCGCATACTTGGCAGTATAGCAAACCTCAATAGGTACAAAAAAATTGGAATAACCCCCTGCATCTTATCAGACTGCCATGCTTTGAAATTAGAATTCAACAACAACACAAATTGCAGAAACTCTACAAACTCATGGAAATTCAACAATGCGCAATTTCACCATTCCTGGTAAAGAAGAAATAAAAAAGTAAATAAAAGACTTCCTAGAATTCAATGAGAATGACAACACAACATACCCAAACTAATGGGACACTTTGAAAGCAGTGCTAAGAGGAAAGTTCATGGCACTAAGTGTCCATATAAATAAACAGGAGAATAGTCACACTAGGGAATTAACAGCACAGCTGAAAGCTCTAGAACAAAAAGAAGCAAATTCACCCCAGAGAAGTAGTTGCCAGGAAATAATAAAATTGGGGGCTGAAATCATAAAGTAGAAACTAGGAAAACAATACAAAGAATCAATGTAACAAAGAGTCGATTCTTTGAGAAAAATCAACAAGATAGACAAACCTTTATCCAAACTAACCAAAAGGCTGAAAGAGAACATGTAAATTACCAAAATCAGATATCACTTACCAAAATTAAATCAAGAACAGATAAGCAATTTAAATAGACTTATAACCCCTAATGAAATAGAAGCAGTCATCAAAAGTCTCACAACCCAAAAAAAAAAAAAAGGGACCAGATGTCTTCAGTGCAGAATTCTACCAGAAATTCAAAGAACAGCTAATACCAATTCTCCTCAAAGTATTATACACAATAGAAGCAGAAGGGTCATTGCCAAACTCTTTTTATGAGGCTACAATTACCTTGGTACCCAAGCCACACAAAGACATAACTAATAAAGAGAACTATAGGGCAATATCTCTTATGAACATTGATGCAAAGATACTCAATAATAAACTACTGGCAAGTCGAATCCAAGAACACATCAGAAAATCATCTACCATGATCAAGTAGGGTTCATCCCAGAAATGCAGGGTTGGTTCAACATACAAAAACCCATCAATGTAATCTACCATATAAACAAACTAAAAGAAAAACCACATGATCATCTCACTAGCCTTTGACAAAATCCAACACCCCTTCATGATAAAGGTCTTGGAGAGATCAGGGATAACAGAACATACCTAAACAAATAAAAGCAATATACAGAAAACCAACAGCCAACATCCAACTAAATGGAGAGAAACTCAGCACAATTCCTCTAAAATCAGGAACAAGACAAGGCTGTCCACTCTCTCCATATCTCTTCAATATTGTACTTAAAAGTTCTAGCTAGAGCAGTAAGACAACAAAAGGATATCAAGGGGATACAAATTGGAAAAGAAGAAGTCAAACTTTCAATATTTGCAGATGATATGATAGTTTACATAAGTGACCCAAAAACTCTACCAGGGAATGTCTACAGCTGATGAACACCTTCAGCAAAGTGGCAGGATACAAGACTAACTCAAAAAAACCAGTAGCCCTACTATATGCTGACGATAAATGGGCTGAGAAAAAAAATCAGAAAAACATCACCCTTTATAATAGGCAGAAACAACATAAAATACCTTGGGGTAACACTAACCAAACAAGTGAAAGACCTGTATAACAAGTACTTTGAGTCTTTAAAGAAAGAAATTAAAGAAGATAACAGAAAATGGAAAGATCTCCCATGCTCTTGGATAGGATCAACATAGTAAAAATGGCAATCTTGCCAAAAGGAATCTACAGATTCAACGCAATTCCCATCAAAATCCCAGCATAATTCTTCAAAGACCTTGAAAGAACAATAACCAACTTTATATGGAAAAACAAAAGGCCCAGGATAGCCAAAACAACCCTGTACAATAAAGGAACT